GACACGACGCACACGAGCGCGGTTTCTATGGGCGTTTTCGAATCCCTGTTCTTGACAACACTCGGGTTAACCCGACACGAGAACAGCGGTCTCGAACGTGACGAACAGACCCGAGAGGGCGTTCGCGGATCGATTTTTTCACTCCCCGGTTGATGGAGGGTTCGGCGAGGTGCAGCTTGAACAAAATGGCGGACTGTGCAGATTCGAAAGTTGTTTTGTGTGGGTTTTTTTGCTAATATACCCTAATGATTGGAATAAGAATACCATTATAGTGCAGGTCTGCAATTTTGGTCTGTTTCACATTCATCTTCAGAGTATTCCTCGTTCATTTGGAATAGGCTTAAGTACAAATTCAGACGATTGTCGGCCATTTTGCATTGCTTTATATCGATGCGACACGCACCCGCGCGTTCGTAACAACCAGCTCGAGAACACGTTCTTGTGTTACACGCATGTGGTCAAGAACAGGGATTCGAAAACGCCCTATGATTCGTCGGATCAGTGCGCGGCATCGCGTAGCTGCAATCGGCTCAGTGGGAACGTGTCTCGGACGCTGAATTCAGGCCCAATTCAAAACATGATTCGGCAACTTCTGATTTGAAATCGAGATCCTAGAATGCTATTTTTCTCGAAATCTATAGCTGAAGCTCTTTGTTCCACCCTACTACCCACGAATAAAACACACAGCTCTTCGGTCATTCACCCGTTGTCGCGTATAGACATGGATAAAAAAAATCTAGACACAGCAACAAAGGTTGTGTCACGTGCTCTGTATTATGCTATGTTGTATTATGTTAATAGCAAAAGTTTGCACCCGGAAACGATACTTGTGGAAATTCGTAGCGGGATTTATGTTAGCAGTTTTATACGCTTCGAGCTAAGCAACCGTGATCTACCTGTAGACATATAGGTCATGCTTTGTTAAATTTTACTTTCAGATAGTCTTTTTGGACGCTTTTCGGGTGTGCATGTTGTTGTGACTATTCCAAGCGTCACAGACTATTTCCTGAGTGCAAGAAAATCAGCCTACATTATCAGGTATGATTTTGTTTAACGGCTATATAAGCAGTGCGCGGTGGCGGGAAAATCACTCTGTGGCGAGAACAGTTCGAGGCAGTCAAAGTCCTGTGAGTAGTTCTGTACCGTCCGTCATTGTCCCGTCCGTCATTGTCCCGTCCGTCGTAGTTACTGCAGAGACCGCACAGAGTCACGTCCGCTGAAGTCCCGTTAGAGTCACTTCCAGTTTACTGTTACCGCAGGTAACGCTGACGCCATTATGATTCAAAGATTTCTCACTGTGTCACACAGTGAAATCACTAAACAGCGTCGTTGTATTGTGAACACATAAACGCATTAAAGTCGCGTTCTTGCACACTTTATGCAAGTCGACATAGATATCCTTGAACCACTGCCCCTGCTTTGCATAACAAGTGCACATGAATGAACGATTCAACTTTTATTCCAAGAAATTTCTATGTACAGTCACCAGACTCTATTCAGTAAAGTCCCCGTCAAAACGAAAGTAAACAATCCAGGTGTATAACGCACGGCTACACCATCGTACAGTGTGGCAGGGGCACCAACAAGTAAGAAAACAACTAAAAACTAGAGTTTGAGGACAAACACACGGTGTTGGGCTAGAGGTTTTGCTTTTTCGCATTGTTGATTATTGTTGTTGATTGTTGATGTTGGTTGTTGATGTTGATGTTGATGTTGATGTTGATTGTTGATTGTTGATTGTTGATTGTTGATGTTGATTGTTGATTATAGTTGATGGTAGTTGTTCATGTTGATGTCGATTGTTGATAATTGATTGTTGATATTGATTAACATTATTGATGTAGATTGTTGATGATTGTTGATGTTGATTGTTGATGTTGATGATTTTGTTAATGATTGTTGATGTTAATTGTTGATTGTGATTGCTGATGTTGATTACTGATGTTGGTTATTGATGTTGAATGTCAGATTGTTGATGTTAATTGTTGATGTTGATTGTTGATGTTGATGTTAATGTTGATGTTGATTGTTGATGTTGATTGTTGATGTAGATGTTGCTGTTGATGTTTATTGTTGCTGTTGATTGTTGATGTTGATTGTTGATTTTTGATGTTGATTGTTGATGTTAATGTTGATTGTTGATTGTTGATGTTGATTGTTGATGTTGATTGTTGATGTTGATTGTTGATGTTAATGTTGATTGTTGATGTTGCTGTTGATTGTTGATGTTGATGTTGAGGGTTGAGGGTTGAAAAAAAGCGCGTGGAGTAATTATACAAAGGATAGTTAAAAAGAGTCAGGTGAGGATCTGCACGCGCGTATGCTGCTGTACTGTAAACTTATCTAGTACAATTGTTACAAAAACCCATTCAATAGCTCATATCTCTAAAAGTAAAGGTCGCACACCATTGGCGCAATACAAGATATTGCTCGCCATACCCTCTTTACCTCAATGTGCATGTTTTTAGAAGAAAACGTCCAATTTAAACAAGCGCCCAATTGGGTGATTTTGCCAGCCCAATTTTTGAGCATCATGACGGGAAGTTCCCTTTTATGCAATCGCAGCGCACTGTTTTCGGGATTTTCCCTTTGTACGCAATTATCCCCATTTGCTGTACACACAATGTACGTGGCATTAAATGAGCGTTTCAATGCATAGGCGTGTTCACTTTCAAACTTCAAGGGGGCTGCAGGGCAACTTCTAGTAAATTTATTGTAACGAAACCTTAGGAAGTTTTAGACCTATTATTGAAGTGCCATTTAAAAGCACAAAACTGGATTATATCTCTGACGGTTGATTTTTTAGCAATTCTCAAAGCAAAAGAGGTCTTTTCATTGTAACTTCCGGTCTGATGACGTAATCATTATTTTTTCGCGCACAGGTCTTGTCTGCATTAAGGTCATTATGTATATTAATTTTGAAGCGATTACCGCAAATTTCGCCACAGACACCAACTGAAAATGCGTTTTGGACATTTTTTAACCTGCCGCTAGAGGGCGCTCGAACACTTGATGGCGTCACCGATCATTTTTTTGGAAAGATCAACCCACCCATGCTAACATCGTTGAAAGCAAGTTCATATCTTTTTCCACTTTTGAATTATTAGGCACTTCCGGTTTCGACCGGAAGGAAGGGTCATGTGATTTTACGCACACAAGATTAATTGAAGAGCTTGTATTATCATGTCGATTCCCGCAAAATTCAAGTTCCGGTCTCTCACGGTTGATTTTATATTGAATTTCAAAGATTAAATTGATTATTTTTTGAAGTGACGTCACGTGACCCATGATGACGTCATGATGACGTAATTGCAAAAAAGCACATCTTCAGTTGGTTGTGCATTCATGTATTGACAATTGAAGTTCATATGTGGTTTCATTTTGACAAACGGTTCTGGAAACGAATGTGTCTTGGAGAAATAAAAAAAAACTAGAGTTTGAGGGAACAAACACACGGTGTTGGGCTAGCCTGAGGTTTGGCTTTTTCGCATTGTTGATTGTTGGTTGTTGTTGTTGATGTCCAATGTTGATGGTTGCTGTTGATGTTGATTGTTGATTGAATTTGACGGTGGTTAATGCTCATGTCGATTGTTGATTGTTGATAATTGATTGGTGTTGTTGATTAACGATTATTGATGTTGATTGTTGATGTTGATTGTTATAATATTGATTATTGATGTTGGTTATTGATGTTTATTGTTGATGATGCTTGTTGATGTGAATTGTTGATTGTTGATTGTTGGTGTTGTGATTTTGATTGATTATTGTTGATGTTTGATTGTTGTTTGTTGATATTTGATGTTGATATTGTTGTAGATTGTTGCTTGTTGACAGTTGATTGTTGATGGTGATTAATGATTATTGATAGTTGATGATTGTTGATGTTAGTGTTGATGTTGTTGATGTTGATTTGATGTTGACTTTTGATGATGATTGTTGATGTTAATTGTTGATTGATGATTGTTAATGTTGCTTGTTGATTTTTGATTAGTTGATGGTGATTGTTGTTGTTGATGTTGATAGTTGATTGTTGATGTTGATGTTGATGTTGATGTCTGTTGCATTTTTTGTTTGTTTACTAGCACCGGGGTTGTGTATTTATTTTGTAGTTTATTGCCGTGTGCATGGGACCGCTGTGAGTTCTCCTGTTCATATTGAAATCACTGTGATTTAAATACCTTATGTTGATATTTTAATACCATTTGGTGTTAAGAAATTTGGTCTTGAAATGTTATATTGGTTCCATTTTGTTTAGAATTGTAATGTTTTGATGGTCGGATAATTTTGTTACTTTTGTATATAACGCGCGTTGAGCGTTTAGCTTGGTAGGCGGATGTTGGCGCTATATATACCCTTTATTATACGTAACTATGAACACACTTTTTAAAGACATTTTGCAAGACATAATGATTTGATCATAATATGAATTTCTAAGTAGCAACTAGGGTGAGGAAGTAAATTGCAGTGATATGAGTTCTGTACATCCCTCGCAGATAGTTAGTTGGGCTGAATCATGGGCTGAATCTCAAAATGTTGAAAATGTGATTAGCGCCCTCTTTGTAAAATAATCACATGTAGTGAGCGGCATGCGAATTTTTTTCTCCCAAACGACATCCGCATAGGCCTATGGGTGTAGATTTAAAAAAAAAAAAAAAAAAACATAAGAAAAAATAAAATTGGGAGGAAAAAAAAGATTTTGGAATGTTATGAAATTTGGAATTTAGTTCCTTTAAAAAAAAAAATCCTCCGAAGCCTCAGGTTAGAAAAAAAAAATTCGGGTGTACAACCAAGATCCGAACCCGCAACCTCGCGGTGCAAAATCACGACATTGTATCGATTGAGCCACCGCACTCCTCAGAAAAAGTGGGGGAAATAAGAATCATATACCTGCGTACGGAGCGGCGTGCGTACACGTACTGTGCGCGCGCATATCTGACCTGTCTGGTGTCGGCCTCATGGGGATCTTTGGTGATGCATATGACGGAGCGGAGATCAGACTATGTACATTTAGTGCAAGCATGGGTACGTATGCCTACTCAACGAAGAAAACTCGTTAAAATTCGTTGGTTTGATGGATGAGTTTTACATTGAACGTCATTTAATTTCATTTTAAAATAGTTCAACTTACAAATGTGATTAGTTTGTAATAGTTGGCTGGCACATTTAGGCCTACTTTAGAACTTAAATCACAAGGGAACGTGTTTTGGTTTTGGATAGCACGTGCATGACTATACTATAGTGTGGCCGCGGTATGAGACTCGGTTCAGCGCAGCATACCGCGGCCACACTAGTGGGGCTAGTGGCACGGTGCATGACGTGTGGGCCGAGTACATAATTAACAATGCATGTTGGCCTAGCCCTAGGCCCTATCACTATCAGTACTATCATGCCTATTGTAATTTGTTTGATGTCACTCATGTATGGGCGATCGGGTGTATCTAGCCAGGACCTTGTTCCAAGGGAACAAAATATTAAACCGATTAGATAGAGCAGGGTGACGTTTTGTATTTTTGAGGGAATTTTGGGGGTAGAATGACGATGATAGCGCAGCGACAACCTGCAATCAAAAAATAAAGATGGCGATCACCATGTGATATACTGTGAGCATGCAAGGCGTGCTGAATTGCAAGGTACCAACTGGCAGCAAACTGCGCAGGAAAATTGTGATTTCTACCCCAAGGACTGTTCAAAATTACAAAAAGGGTGTCTTTAGAATTGAGAGAAGGCTGCTCTTGATTGGAAAGGTAATTTTTTGAGCAATAACAAATTATATTGTCATGATGTACATGTATTGTTCAGCATGTTCAATAGGCCTGTGCTGCATGCTGGTCACCATCAAACTAGTCTAAAAGACAAATTAAAATTGAATTGTATAGATACTTAAAGATTGATCAATTGATTTGATTGTATAGCCTAGCCATTTGTTCTGTTTGATGAATTGATTTAGGTTGAATTAGACCTGTCCTGATCAAGATTTGATTTGTTTCCAACTAAACGGGCCAAATTGTAATGTGTGTAACCAAAATTCTCCTTTGGTTATCTTTTATTCCTAAGTTACTTTTTTGTTGGCTTTATTTTGGTTTGAGTCAATATGTGTCGCGTCGTGCAACTCTGTGCAGTTAAAATCTTATCAAAATTATGGGGGTAGTTTCTGGTTACCCTGCACTATTTTAACAGACTGTACCCTTATTGTGTTTTTTTTTTGGGGGGGGGGGAGAGGAAAACAAAGCAAAAGCCATTACATTGTAAGTACTACCTTTTACCCTTGACTACATGCAAGGATCCATTATGATAAACAAATTTAAAAAATTGCCCAAAAAGAAAATTTGCCTAACTACATGTATTTAGCCTATTTTCAATAATCATGTTATCAGAAGCAGAATATTTTTTGGAGGGGGGGGGGCAGGTAATGGTATAGCAGTTCTATTTTAATCAGATCCCATACTCGCATGAGAATGAAAAGACATTTTGTGTTTTAGGAATTAATAGTGAAATATTTCGCAGGAAAAGTTGCCAAATGTGTTTGGAATGTTCTGAATAGTTTTGTATCACTATCAGGTAGTGTAATTTAGAAAGAATTTTGGTAGTTCGTGGCACTTTTCTCTTCATGTACATGTATAATCTCAATAAAGGTTAGTCATTGCAGAAATGTTTAAAAGACATGAATCTGTGTCTGAGAAGCATTTCCAATTTTGTTATGAAGTACTTTCTTAAAAAAAAACTGAGTCTTGATAGAGTTAGTACACAACTGCTGAAGTATGTGAATAGCATATATGTACATTCTTTCTGTTATTTTGGAAAAAGATGGCAGGGTTTGGATTTATTAACGGAGTTTTTGGAAAAAAAAGAGGTCTCCAGAAGTACATGATTACGAATGTGTCATTGTCTTGTATTGCTATAGGTACTGAAATCATTGTGTAATCTTCTGTACTGATGATGTCACACTTCATTTACATGTGTGGTTCTTATGGGAGCATGGTGGGGACAGTGGTTGCATAGCTGCATCAGGAAAAGTGCACGTCAACAAAGTGTGACATGATCAGTACGGAGGCTTATTGTATAGCTGAAGTTAAAGGAACTGATTTGATAATGAAATAAAGAGTTGTAGTTTGAGTTTGTTTTACAAAATGATTCTTATGTTACTGTGGGGGGGGGGGGGTGGGGTGGGGAGCATTGCATACTCTCCCTCAAAATGTTGTTGTCTGATGGTAAATCTTGTAATTGGCCATTCATATTTGATTATGTTGTTTCAATGAGATGTATGAATTATTGTCAATGAGAGAAGTAAACATTTTGGCCAAGGGATGATTACAAAATTGATATTTAGTGAGAAATGTATGTTTGATTGATAAAATACCTGGCAAATTAGAAGAAAAGTTTTAAAGGCTCTGCACAATTAAAAAAAACCTGTTAGAATGTCAAAAAAAAGCTGTCTGCAGCTGTTTTGGGGTTTGATGGGATGTTGCAAAAAAATATTGTTGTTTTTCTGTATTTGTGACTTTTCCCCCATTTTTTGTATGTGTTCACAGATGGCATCTTCAGAAGTCTCTTCCCCATGGATCGAAAGGAACTAAATCCTGGTGAAAACCAGGTTCCTGGCAGGAGCCTTGTACTTGTGAACCATAACAATAACCATAACAATAACAATAACCATAACTATGAGCATGAGAACCATGAGCATGAGAATCATGAACATGAGAACCATGGACATGAGAAACATGGACATGAGAAACATGAACTTGAGAACCATGATCTTGAGAACCATGAACTTGAGAACCATGGACTTGAGAACCTTGAACTTGAGAACTATGAACTTGAGAACCATGAACTTGAGAACAAATGCTTGGATGAGTCAGATTCTGGGATGAGGCAGGTTTTGAGAACAAACCAAGAACAAAACTTGAGAACAAACAATGAACAAAACTTGAGAGCAAATCAACTTGAGGAAAATAGATGCGACAAAGCATTGAGCGCAAAAGCAAAGCAGAGAAAATGCTGTGATGAAACTGAGGTGATGAAATGTTATTATTTACAGATTGTGAAACCTAAGAAGATACTTTTGAAGAAGGCACAGGAAGAACATGACAGAAAGATGCGACAGGATAGACAGGAAAGAGTGAGTATTCTGAGAGAGGGCAAGAAGAAGCGATTAGCAAGAGTCAGTAATGTGAAAGGTTTGCTATGGCTTAAGCAGTACAGTTGGACAAAGCACTGTGGTAGTGGTCGTCTCTTGGATTATGTAGAAGAGATTTGGGAAGGAAATGGTAGAAAGAGGCCATCAAGACAGCACAAGAGAAAAGTGAGGAAACAAGTGTTGAAGCAGACTCATAACATCAGGAAAGGAGGGAAGGTAGTAGAGTGTCGCAAGAGCAAAGAGGATAGAAGGTTGCATGAGAAATGGCAAAAAAATATCTGGTGTCGTACACAAAGAAGTTTGAGTACAGTTTTGAAGAACACCAACGGCTTGCAGGACAAGAGAAATAAAAACGCAGAGATCGTGGTGCTTGTACACAAGAAGGTGGGATGTAAAAGACAAGTGTTGGAAAATCATACGAAGAGACAAAGCAATGAAAGTGAAACGAGAAACAGACAGTCTGAAAGAGGGAGAGCAAACATGGTAGAAATGAAATGTGATGCCACTGATAATTGGGAGTGTTGGATGTGTGATAAAGAGATCAACAGATATCAACCTAAAGCACAGTGTGGCTGTGGATTGTGGTATCATGTTGATTGCATGGGATTTACAAATAGTACTGCAAATGACGTCTTGGCAAACAAATCAGTTATATGGGTATGCTACAAATGCCATGGAAGTAACTACTGTAAATCTTTACATGATTATCTTGACATTCCTGTAGATTTAACCATGTATGAGCAAACATTGATGGATGGCTTGGGAGAAGACATGATGAAACAGTCTGCTGAGGAGAATTCTGACAAACAAGAGAGTACTGAAGGTAACACAGTCGGGATTCATGATTGTACACGTGTTGACAAAGTTGCAAAAGAAATGATGGAATGTAGACGAACAACCAAGAGAATATACTTAAGTCTAAATACAAGGAAGCAAAAGGAAAGTGGACTTGAAAATCATAAAGAATATAGCACTATAAAACTCTCATTGATTAAGCAATCTGGAGGTTATTCATTAAGAGAAAGAAAGAAAAAATCAGATGTAGCAGCTAAGGTAAATGAAAGACAGTCAAAAATCGGGAGAACAGTGAGTGAAACTAAGAGTACAAAGCAAAGAGACAGTCCAGTTGTGAAAGAGGTTTCATATGAACTAAGAAAGAGAAAACGAACTGCAAGTGTTGATGTCCAGTGTGATGATAACAGGTGCCCAGACATGAGAGATAAAAGTGGACATTCATTACGTAGTAAGAAGAGGTCATTGGCACCAGTGGTTAAAAAGAATAAACCAGCAGTTGACAATAATTCAATAATTGATGATGATAAACAAATAAGTGGCAAAAGTACGGCTTGCTCAAAGAAAATTTTCGAACAATGCTCCCAAAATGAAATGCAATCAAAAGTATGCAGTGGAACAAAGACTCCAGTCCATGTCATTATTCAGGGAAACTTTCATCAAGGTAATCGAAAATTTGGTGTTAATATGGGAAAGCAGTGTGTTGCAAATAGCTTGTGCTCAATGATGTATAGTCATGTGAAGGAATTGAGACACTGGACGTGTCATGATATGGATTTAGTGCTGAATACTGGCAATGAGTTGTATGGTCATTTATCACATAGTTCAACGATGCACAATGATTACTTGTTGATCAATGAATTGCCCAATGAATTGGATGTATTTAATCAACATTTCACAATGAATTATCACGAGTCTGTGTGTGGTACTTTTGGAGATGAATGCAGTTTATCTGAATTTAATATGATGCCGATGAACCGTGCACTTGAGCAGACACTGCAGAGATACAATGGCTGTTTCATATGTTTTAAAGGAAATACATTTGCTGTCATGGCTCAAAATGGAATGTACTATATTTTTGATTCGCACTCCAGAGATTATAATGGTTTGCAAGCAAGTGAAGGAAGCAGTTTGATGAAAAGTGCAGCAACATGGAAAGATGTTTACATGTATTGTACAGATTTGGGTCATTCTATGAATGTAACTAATGATGAACAATTTGAAATCACTGGTGCGAGTGTGTTGAAACATCAAGGTGCTGGTATGTGTTCACATGAAGAGACAGAATGTGATACAGACAGGTTGACATGTGGCATTGATAATGAGACTAGTAATCAGTTTAACATACCTAATGTGACAGCAGACATTTGCAATCATGCAGACAAAGAGGAAAAGCAGATAAATGATGCTGAAGATGACAGTGATTATGACAAGAGTTGGTCAAGTATCAAAGGACTTGTCAGAGAGAGCTACAAAAGTAAGGATATAGATGATGACATTGAAATGAATGTCATATCTGAACCAAGTGAGTTTCATTTTGTACCGTTGTCACATGATCAGAAGAAATTACTGTGTAATAAACTTGGAATCACCATAGTTAATCTACAGTCGAATATAGTAACTGAAGTAAGTGATAAGATTGGAAGACCAGATTGTATCAGGAATATTAAAGGTGACGGGAATTGCTTCTTCCGGGCGATATCTTTTGCAATATCAGGGACTGAAGCTAATCACATGCGTTTGAGAATGGCAACTGTAAATCATTTATTGAAACATGCTAGTCAGTACAAGGGTTTGTTACGTGAAGGATTCACTGATGTAGAGGAATATGTGCGTAGGGCAAGGATGTTCTGTTCAGGTAAATGGGCAACTGAAGTTGAGATCATGGCTGCAGGACACATGCTTGAGACTGATATTTATACATTTGGTGACAGATGGTATTTATTCTCTGGCAAAAGTGCTGAAGTTGGAGTTGAGACATCAGATGCTGGAATCTATCTCAATCATACTTGTCAAATACATTATGATGTTGTATTGTCAGTGCATGAACCAGAGCAGATAAACACTGCAGAAGAAGTTGAAGTTAAAAGTGAAATTGAAGCAGAGGTTGGTGTACCAAATGAGTTCATGGACAATCTTAGTGTACTGGTACATGAAATGCAAGTACCTATTGCTAATAACGTGGTGTGTGATGATCATAATATTGAGAATGAAATTAATGAAACCAAAGCAGAAAAGATCGAACCGGTAAATGTATCAAAGGGAAAGAAGTGCAAAGCAAGTAAAAATCTGCAATTAAAAAGAAAATTGGATAGGGAAAGAAAGAGAGCCAAAAATGAAGAGCATTTTAGCAAAAATTATATGGGAGAAATTGAAAGGACGAAAGATAGATTGCATAATAACATCAAATATGATATTGATGAAGAATATCAAAACAAGCACATTGAATCTGTAAAAATTGGATATGGAAATAATGTAGATTGCATTAAGTGTAACCAAAGGGATAAATATGATGTTGATGTTAAACATGTATTAAGGAAGACAAGTAAGACAAGAAGACGTAATCAAAAGAATGTACATTATAAACAAAAGTATCGTGAGTGTCCTGATTTCAGGAATGAAATTTTGAAAGCAAAAAAATTGACTTATCATGAAAATGTACAATATAGAGAGAAAAAAAAAGAAGCAATAAAAGTAAAGTATCACCATGATTCAATTCACAGGGAAAAAATGATTGGTACTAGTAAAGTGAAATATAGTCGGGATACAGTTTACAGGAAGAAATTGATTGATACTGGTAAAATGAAGTATAGGCAAGATGCAGTTCACAGGAAGAAATTGATTGATACTGGTAAAAGGAAGTATAGGCAAGATGCAGTTCACAGGAAGAAATTGATTGATACTGGTAAAAGGAAGTATAGGCAAGATGCAGTTCACAGGAAGAAATTGATTGATACTGGCAAAATGAAATATGGGCAAGATGCAATTTACAGGAAGAAATTGATTGATACTAGTAAGATGATATATAGGCAAGATCCAATGCACAGGAAGAAATTGATGGATACGTGTAAAATGAAATATCATGAAGATCCTAAGCGTAAAAAGAAAATTCTGGAAACGAACAAGCAAAGAATATTAAATCACAAGGAGAGAAGAAAAAGTATACATAATGTAATTTATGATTTCAAGATTAAGATGGAAAAAGGGCCTGATTGTGTTTGTGCTGTGTGTCATAAATTATTGTTTCACAACCAAGTAATGAAATGTTACAAGGATGCATACAAGTATTCTCAAAATATATCGGAAAATTATGTACATACATGTGATAAGAATTGCAAATTGGATTGTTCTATTGCTAGATCAAACAGATCATGCTTGTGGATATGTCATACTTGTCATAAAAAGTTGATTACAAATACAGTCCCAGCAGAAGCAGATGTCAATAATTTGACATTAGTGGACATTCCAGAAGAACTGGCAAGACTTAATAGCTTAGAGCAACATCTGATAGCCAGAAATATTGCATTTATGAAAATCATCAATCTACCAAAAGGTGGTCAGAAGGGATGTTTTGGACCATGTGTATGTGTTCCATCAAATACCACAGAAACAGTCCAGTCATTGCCAAGAACTGCAAATGAGAATGATATGATACGAATCAAATTGAAGCGTAAACTGTCATATAAAGGTCATGTGGAATATCAGTTTGTCAACAAGCAGTATGTTGAAGAAGCTTTGCATTATCTCAAAGACAGTAATAAATGGTATGATGATATTGAAATTGAATACGATTGGATTAACCCTGTACCTGAACAATCAGTTGAAGAACCTGGAAATGATGAAACAATGAATGAGGATGATCAAACTGGTGACATAGAGGAAGAGGATGATGATGACCGATTGTGTGGAATAAAGCTTGATACATGTCTTCAACCTGCTAATATTGGACAAGAAATTCTAGATCAGTACTTTGATGATATATTTTGTGTTGCACCATGTGAGGGAAATAATCCAGTGAGAATCCTGATGGAAGAAGGAAATGAAGCCAAATGCTTTCCGACATTGTTCCCAAGTGGTGGTCCAATATTTAGTGATCAGAGGAAAGTCAGATTAACATTGTGCAGATATTTACATAATAGACTGATGAACGTTGACAACAGATTTGCTAAAAATACAGATTATATATTTTATGCACAGTATTTGTCTGAAATTCAGCAAGTTATGTCGTGTGTATCTATTGCTTTGCGTAAAGGTTCAATGAAGACTCAAGAAGGTCATGATATTACTGCTTCAATGCTTAATGACAAGGCAAATTTGAATAAGATGTTGAAATCTGACAGTGGTTATAAATTCCTGAAACCAATAAGAGGTACTCCACCATATTGGCAATGTGCTCACAGAGATGTATTAGCTATGATTACACAGCTTGGATTACCTACATGGTTTTGTTCATTTTCTGCTGCAGACATGAGATGGCCTGAAGTAATTAATATGATACTCAGACAACAGGGAGATGGTAGAACTGTAGATGAATTGGATTGGAATGAAAAGTGCCAAATACTGAGAAGTAATCCAGTGACTGCTGCAAGAATATTTGATAGAAAGTTTCATATGTTTTTGAAAGAGGTCATTATGTCAAAGGCACATCCTTTTGGTGAAGTGAAAGACTACTTTTATAGAATCGAGTTTCAGCAGAGAGGATCACCACATGTACATGGAATATTCTGGATAAAAGATGCGCCAAAGTTGGATTTTGATGAGGATGAAGATGTTGTAAAATTTATTAATAGATACGTATGTTGTAAATTGCCATCAAAAGATGAGGATGATGAGTTAAATGAAATTGTATCTAATGTCCAAATGCACAGCAAGAAGCATTCCAAAAGTTGTAAAAAAAAGGGCACGGAGTGTAGATTTAATTTTCCTAGACCCCCATCAGAAAGAACATTTGTTATTAGATCTGATACCAGCAGTAGTGATGATGACACACAGGAAATGAGTGGAATTGATAGTGATTCTGATGGTGCTTCTGGACAAGCCTGTCTAAACTCTGAGACTGATAACAAAAATTGCAGTGGAGACACAGGAAGTAGTACAGCTACAACTGATGCAAAAGAGCTCTTGAAATCAGTGTGGAGTGAAGTTCAAAATCAAGAAAAGCAATATGAGACAACAAATGAATTATTTGAAAGTCTGGGAATTACTCAAGATGATTTCGAAAAAGCAAATAGTGCTCTCACTAAGAAAGTTAGTATTGTATTGAAGCGTAATCCTCAAGATGTATGGGTGAATCAGTATAATCCTCACTTGCTACGAGCATGGAATGCAAATCTAGATATCCAATATATTACAGACATTTATGGATGCGTGGCATATGTTGCTTCTTACATGTCGAAAGCTGAACGTGAAATGGGACAGTTGCTGAGTCATGCGCAGAGTGAAGCACAGAGAGGTAATCTAGATGCTAAGCAAAGTATGAAAGAAGTTGGCCAAGTCTATTTACAGAACCGTGAGGTATCAGCTCAAGAGGCAGTATATCGGGTATGTAACTTGAGATTGAAAGAAGGTTCTCGAAAAGTGGAGTTCATCCCTGTGGGAGAAAATCCTGTGAGAATGAGTTTACCACTGAGTGTGATACAGAACAAATCAGATGAAGATGATTCAGAGGTTTGGATGGTGTCCAGAATAGATCGATATAAGGCACGACCTGAGAGTGATGAATTTGAAATAATGTGTTTGGCTTCATTCAGCTCAGAATATAGAGTCTTATCACAAACAGAAGCATCAAACATTCATGGTAAAAAGGCTTCTAAACATGTACATGTATTAAAACACGGATTGGGACATATACGGAAACGTACTCGTACTGGTGCAGCTGTTATAAAATATCCCAGATTTTCAGAGTCAAAGTACCCCAACAAATACTATCATAGCATTTTACAATTATTTCTTCCTTATCGTGTTGATCAACAATTGAAACCACCACAATTTGAAACATATGAGGAATTCTATAAAACTGGAAAAGTCAAACTCCATGATTGTGATATACAATCTGTCCAATGTATTGTAGATACCAATCGTCAGAAATTTGAAGCTGCTATAGAATCTATGGATGATGTGGAGCAGTACTTGGAAAGATTTGGTCCACAGGATGATGCATGGGCATTGATCTGTCCAGAAACTGAATCAGAAAGACTTGAATGTCAAGATGAGAAACAAGAAGTGATCCATGAAAGTGAGGATGAATGTGCAATTCCTGATTTGAAGTCTTATAAGAAGGATGACACACAACATATTATTGAATATCATGCTGCTAAGATACCCAGACAAGAAGCTCAAAGCTTAATGAGATCATTGAATGTTCAGCAGAGTGAAGTATTTTACAAGGTTAGACAATGGTGTCTGGATAAAGTGAATGGAAAATCTCCTGAACCATTTCATGTATTTATAACTGGAGGAGCTGGAACAGGCAAGAGTCATTTAATCAAGTGCATTTACAATGAAGCAGTACGTATACTTGGACGATTAATGATTAATCCAGACGATATATGTGTACTTCTCTGTGCTCCTACTGGTGTTGCTGCATATAATATTCATGGATTAACATTACACAATGCCTTGTCAATATCAACTGATATGTCATTACCTTATCAACCCCTTGGTGAAGAAAAGTTAAGCACTCTGCGGAATAAATTGAATCAGATACAGATTTTGATTATTGATGAGATTTCTATGGTTGATCCAAAAATGTTGTGCTATATACATGGACGTCTGAGGCAAATTAAGCAAACAAGAAGTCAGTGCCCTTTTGGAAATGTCAGTGTTATTGCAGTTGGTGATTTTTATCAGTTACCTCCAGTGAAAGCAAGATCTTTGCATCATATTACACTAGAATCAAGCTTGTGGCATGATAATTTCAAAAAAGTTGAGTTGACTGAAATCATGAGACAAAAAGATGACATGAAATTTGCTGAACTTCTCAACCATGTGCGAACTAGGAAGAAAGAAGATAGTCTGACAGATGAAGACATATCTATTCTTCAGAGTCGTGAAACAGGAGAAGAATGGAATGATGCCGTTCATATTTACCCTACAAACAAACAGGTTGACAAATGTAATAGACAAATTTTGCATGGACAGTTTTTGGATTGTATGTGTATTGAAGCTAAAGATTATGAAAAAGATGGTAGTGGAAGGTTGAAACAAAGAGATACACCATTGAAATCAGCTCGGACTTCTTTGTGTCAAACATTATGGATCAGTATCGGAGCACGTGTGATGTTAGTGAAGAATTTGGATGTTTCTCAAGGTCTTGTAAATGGTGCATTTGGAACTGTCACTGGAATTGAAATGTTAGCTGATCAATCTCTTCCTAAGTGTATTAAAGTGGAATTTGATGACAAGAATGCAGGAGCTAAACTCCGGAGACAATGTGCAGTCTTACATGATCAGACATCTGTTGCTATTGAGATAGATGAAGAACACATTGGAAAGAAATGTATACGTAAGCAATTTCCTTTGAAACTTGCATGGGCATGCACTTCTCACAAAGTACAAGGAATGACAATGAGTAAAGCTGTAGTTTGCCTTGATCGTACATTTGCAGCCGGACAAGCATATGTCAGTTTGAGTCGTGTGACTTCCTTGAATGGACTAATCATAGAGGGATTTGATCTAAAACATATATATTGTGATAAGTCAGTGGCTGAAGTTTTGAATGTTATGCCTCTGTGGAGTGAACATATTAACTCAACTAGTGAACAACAGAAAGAGACAAAGAACACAACTATAATGCTTCATAATGTTCAAGGGCTGAGGAATCATTTTGAAGATTTGAAGTGCCATTGTGATATGATGCAATCAGACTTCCTTTGCTTAACGGAGACATGGACCGATGTAGATAATGTTTATGAATTGAATTTAAATGATTTCAAATGTTATCATCAAGTAAGAGCTGAATCATATGAGAATTCTAGTAATTTGATGCAAAAGAGTCATGGAGGAGTAGCAGTTTATGGTAGACAAGAAAGATGTTTTAGTCGATTAAGAATGTCAGTTATAAATCTGGAATATGTTGCGTTTCATATAATTTCTAATGTATCAGCAGTGGTAGTTGTTCTATATCGACCACCATCGTATAAAATGAAAGATTTCATTATGAATTTGAAGGTATTGTTGGCTGAAGCACATAATGTATGTCACAGATGTATAGTAATGGGTGATTTCAATGAGAATTTGTTTGATAAACACTCCGTGATTGAGAGAGTTATGCAGGAGCATGGTTACAAGCAGGCTGTAAGAGATGCTACCACAGAGATGGATACATTAATTGATCATGTTTATGTGAGAGGCATAGATTCAGTTTCAACTACAATCAGACCTACATACTATAGTTATCATGAAGCTATTCAAATCAAGTTTTGAAGAATCGTTAGCATAATTCATCAATGTTGGCTCGATTATGCTTTTGAAAGAAATAACTGTTTTGAATGAGATAATAAATCAATTTCAAAATGCGCATCACTTGGAAAAATCTATAACATATAAAATTTAATGAATTCAAGAAACAATGTAGCTGTAACTACTCATTGATAGTGATACAGGTCTTAATTCGTACATTCCATGGACAGTTTTGTAAGTGAAGTACATGTATATAGAGTTGTTGAAAATACTTGTGCAATAACATTATACATGGCTGAATCGAAGTTTGTCAAAATTATTCAACAGAACAAAAACTATATTCATCTAAGATGTCTGCATAATCCACTGCCAGTCAGCAGAGTTATCTGGGGCTTGGTATTACTACCAGCCCTTGCCTGCCCTGTTAACCCACTGCCAGTCAGCAGAATTATGTGGGGCTTGTCAGCACTACTAGCCTTGCCTGCCCCGGCCAGCTGAGGTATCTGCACAAACCAGGTATGTTACTTTCGTCCTATCAGTCATATTAGGCCATTTTCAAATTTGAGTCTCTCAAACCTGATGTAGGGTCACCCCAGGGGAAACCTGTTGGATGCCCCAAATTTTTAACCCTGCATTCAATCCTGTGGCTATGCGTCTTACAGTTATTCGAGTTCAACTTGAGGTGAACACACTGCACACTATGCTTTCAAGGGAGGTGACAGTGTAAACCCAGGGTGCGAAATATCACCCCTGCATTGGAGTAAGGTTGTCTTGAACAAGCTAGGGTTAGAACCAATCTTGGGGTTGACGCAGGGTTGGTGCAGGATTGAAGACTGTCAAGTGTGAAACATTGTTTCCAACCCTGAGTCAACTCCATGTAAACCCTGCTTTAACACAGAGACCTGCTTAGTGTGAAAAACTGTGAAAAGGCCTGTTATTTTCTGTCCTAACTCTTTCAACCAAAATACATATAAGTCAGTTGTGAACAGTCTGACACAGTATAATCACCAGAGTAATTTGAAGACTTTATCACAATTCTTAATGCAGAACTTCACACATGACAATTTCTTTTTCATGAATTTGCCCCCCCCCCCAAAAAAAAAAACACCCAGAAAAATAGTTGTAAGAGTCCTGTTTGAAATAAATATGTTCTTTTTTGATTGTTATAATTAACAGTAAGTAGCATCTGCACTGTTCAGCAGCTTGTGCATGAATTTCATGCATAACCTTATTTAAGTGTATTTCATCCTGAGAACAAATTCCAACTTGGGCAAAATGGAAGATACTTTTTCATTTCATTGTCTGTAATTTCAGATTTTTTCTTTCATCCTGATTTTCTCCCTGTTTTATATTTCTAGCCAGCCCTGTTCAGCCGAGATGTCTGCATGGCCTCTGTCATTCAGCTGTGTCATCTCGGGCTTGTCAGCGCTACCTGCCCTCTCCGCTGGCCTGCTCAGCTGAGATGTCAGTATAACCTCTCCCAGTTGGCTGTGTTACCGAGGGCTTGTCACCACTTCTATTTCTAGCCAGCCCTGTTCAGCCGAGATGTCTGCATGGCCTCTGTCATTCAGCTTTGTCATCTCGGGCTTGTCAGCGCTACCTGCCCTCTCCGCTGGCCTGCTCAGCTGAGATGTCTGTATAACCTCTCCCAGTTGGCTGTGTTGCCGAGGGCTTGTCTCCACTACCATTCGTTACTTTCCCTGTTCAGCTGAGATGTCTGCATAATCATTGCCAGTTATCAGCTGTGTTCATTTTCAGCTCATCACCACAATTTCCAGTTACCAGTCATTTGTTATGGAGTCTTATTATCGATAGCAGAGTGAAACAGGAAATTGAAAAAGAGAATACTATCCAAGATATGAACAGTAGTGAACATTTTAGAGACACTTGGCCCCCATGCTGCTATATAATCTTTCATATTTTCTGACAAATTTTCTGTAAGACCGGCAGTCCTGCACTCAGGTGGACACATCAGTGACAATTAATGTTAAAAGTTGTCATTAATTAACATTTAAAAGTGCTGATTGCCCCCTTCTGAACCCCCTTCTTTATCAAGAGCAATTTACTACCGACTTTACTTAGCCCTTATTGTTTCTAATCATCATCCTGCTTGATATCTTCCTGCTGTGTAGGTGTTTTGGGGCGTGACAGTCCAAGAAATAAATTTGTAAACTAAATGCTGATTTGTTGGCATTACATAACTTATGATGTTTCCAATGAGTCATTCTACACACAAAACTCAATTGAAAATAAGTAACACAGTACATTTCAATTTTTGCATCAGCATCGGGACGCTATTCTTACACTGTTAATATATAGGCCAATTATAATCCATAAATTTCAGACCAAACAAATAACAAAGTGTAACGCATGTTTTTCCTTTAAAAAATGTGATGCGATCAAGCTGAATGAGTCATTTGTTGGGAACTTTTATTTGGAGATTCAGCCAAAATAGGGCCACTTCATCACATCACTTCATCACATCTCTTGGTGTTCTGACCTCCATAATTTTTGAACTAAATATGGTATCAGTATGCGGTTTTCACAGCAGTAATGCTGAGATTGTGCTCTTTTAAAATCTGTAACAAAAAAAACCCAAAAATGGCCAGGGTTGTCAAACGATAAAAATAGTTTTCCTCCATTATTCAGTGTAGGAGCAAATCCATTGAATTGAAAATTTCAGCCAGGGCATGGACATCGCAGCTTTCAACAATGTAGAAGAAGGAATTACAGAGCGCGGAACTTACTGAACGTTCTAATGATCAATTGTAGTTATGTATATTATGACAATGTCATTATTAGCTTTTGTGTAGTTATCAGATTTGAAATACTTCGCAAACTTTCTTATGATGTTATTCCTGAGATAAAGTAACACGAACAGACTAGTTTTGCAAATTACTTGTCAAGTGTATGCTTCTTATTAAACAACTTGTGTGTGCTTCACTTAACCTTGCATACTTATATTTTGTTTGTGTTTTGGTGTCAGTTTATTTCAAGGGATTCTTCTTATTGGACCTGATCACCCAGATATTTATATTCTTCAGTAGAACAACAGTACTATGTAAAACCATGTGTTTTATTTTTAAACTAGTTGCGCTGCCCACTTCTTCCAAACACCCGTTAGAGTTGTGTACTGCCCTCTTTTGGCGAGCACGAGCGTAAACTTTGAGTGGTGGGAAATCCCCATTCACATGTAATGCACAATGTAGCACATGCGCAATGTCAGTGGTGGGGAAACCCCCATTCCCTTGTAGACGCAATACAATACACGGGAACATTGTACATGTACGTGCCGTGCAATTAATGTTTTAAAAAACACCGCTGTTTTCAGGGCGACATTAGGTTTGTGCGCATGCCCGATTGTCCGTGCTTTAGCTCGTAAAAAAACGCCCTCTAGTTTGACCGAAATGTATCCAGTCTCGCTTTGCGTCAAAACAGCTCACCGGAGTATCACTTTTTTATATTACAAATAAGTTGTTTATAATCCAGATATAACAATTAATCGAAAAAGGACTTTAATTTTTTATCAAATAAATTGACAGAAAAGGACTATAATTTTTTATTCGGCAACACACTTGATTGAGAAACACCTCCGAAAAATTACCTTTGATTGTGATGTTGATTGTTCATTGTCGATGTTGATTGTTGCTGTTGTTTGTTGATTGTTAATGTTGATGTTGATTGTTGATGTTGATTGTTGATTTCGATTGTTGATGATTTTTGATGTTGATTATTGATGTTGATTGTTGCTGTTGGTTATTGATGTTGATTGTTGATGTTTGTTGATGATGATTGTTGATGATGATTAGTGATGTCAGATCAATTGTTCGTTGTCGATGTTGATTGTTGATTGTTGCTGTTGTTTGTTGATTTGGTTTGTTGATTGTTAATGTTGATTGTTGATGTCGAGTGTTGATGTTGGTTATTGATGTTGATTGTTGATGATTAGTGATGTCAATTGTTGATTGTTGATGTTGATTGTTGATTTTGATTTTTGATGTTGATTGCATTGTACGCAATCATAGCAGATTAGTTGATGGTGATTGTTTATTTTGATGATTGTTGATGTTGTTGATTGTTGCTTATTGATGTTGATTGCTGATGTTGATTGTTGATTGTTGATTGTTGAAAGTTGATTGTTGATGTTGATTGTTGATGTTGATTGTTGATGTTCATGTTGATGTTAATTGTTGATGTTAATTGTTGATGTTGATTGTTGATTGTTGATTGTTCAGTCGTAAAACCAGGCACTCAAGGAGCTAGCACGGGGAATTCCCTTTTGTACGCCATCATAGCACACTGTTTTTTTCGGGAATTTCCCTTTGTACGCAATCCTCTCCATTTGCTGTACACACAATGTACGTGGCATTAAATGAGCGTTTCAAAAGGTAGGCGTGTTCAACTTCAAATTTCAAGGGGGCTGCAGGGCATCTTCTAGTTAACATATTGTAACCAAACCTTGGGAAGTTTTAGACCTATTATTAAAGTGCCATTTAAAGCACAAAACTTGATTATATCTCTAACGGTTGATTTTTTAGCAATTTTCAAAGAAAAAGAGGTCTTTTCTTTGTAACTTCCGGTCTGATTACGTAATCAATTTTTTTTCGCGCACAGGTCTCTTTTGCATTAAGGTCATTATGTATATTAATTTTGAAGTGATTACCGCAAATTTCGCCACAGACATCCACTGAAAATGCGTTTTGGACATTTTTTAACCTGCCGCTAGAGGGCGCTCGAACACTTGATGGCGTCACTGATCATTTTTTTGGAAAGATCAACCCACCCACAGGCTAACAACGTTGAAAGCAAGTTCATATCTTTTTCCACTTTTGAATTATAAGGCACTTCCGGTTTCGACCGGAAGGAAGGGTCATGTGATTTTACGCGCACAAGATAAATTGAAGAGCATGTATAATCATGTCGATTCCCGCAAAATTCAAGTTCCGGTCTCTCACGGTTGATTTTATATTGAATTTCAAAGATTAAATGTATTATTTTTTGAAGTGACGTCACGTGACCCATGATGACGTCATAATGACGTAATTACAAAAAAGCACATCTTCAGTGGGTTGTGCATTCATGTATTGACAATTGAAGTTCATATGTGTTTTCATTTTGACAAACGGTTCTGGAAACGAATGTGTCTTGGAGAAATAAAAAAAAAACTAGAGTTTGAGGACAAACACACGGTGTTGGGCTAGAGGTTTGGCTTTTTCACATTGTTTGATGTTGATTGTTGTTGTTGATTGTTAATGTTGATTGTTGATGTTGATTGTTGGTTGTTTATGTTGATTGTTGATTGATGATATGTTGATTGTTGGTTGTTTATGTTGATTGTTGATTGATGATGTTGATTGTTGATTGAATTTGACGGTGGTTGTTCATGTCGATTGTTGATTGTTGACAGTTGATAGGTGTTGTTGATTAACGATTATTGAAGTTGATTGTTGATGATTGTTGATGTGGGTTGTCGATGTTGATTTTTGTTGTTGATTGTTGGTGTTGATCGTTGATTGTTGATGTTGATTGTTGATTGTTGATGCTAATGTTGATTGCTGATGTTGATTGTTGATGTTGCTGTTGATTATTGATGTTGATTGTTGATGTTAATGTTGATTGTTGATTGATGATGTTGATTGTTGATGTTGATTGTTGATGTTAATGTTGATTGTTGATTGTTGATGTTGATTGTTGATGTTGCTGTTGATGTTGATGTTGATTGTTGATGTTGATGTTGAGGGTTGAGAGTTAAAAAATAGCGCGTGGAGTAATTATACAGAGGATCTGCACGCACGTATGGTGCTGTACTGTAAACTTATCTAGTACAATTGTAACAAAAACCCACCAAATAGCTCATATCTCTTAAAGTAAAGGTCGCACACCATTGGCGCAATTCAAGATATTGCTCGCCATACCCTCTTAACCCCATTGCGCATGTTTGTAGAAAAAAAGCGCCCAATTTAAAAAAGCGCCCAATTGGGCGCTTTTGCCAGCCCAATGGTTGAGTATCATATAAGGGGAAGTTCCCTTTTACGCAATCGCAGCACACTATTTTTCGGGATTTTCCCTTTGTACGCAATGATCCCCATTTGCTGTACACACAATGGACGTGGCATTAAATGAGCGTTTCAATGCGTAGGCGTGTTTAACTTCAAACTTCAAGGGGGCTGCAGGGCATCTTCTAGTAAATTTATTGTAACGAAACCTTGGAAAGTTTTAGACCCATCATTTAAGTGCCATTTGAAGCACAAAACTGGATTATATCTGTGACGGTTGATTTTTTAGCAATTTTCAAAGGAAAAGAGGTCTTTTCATTGTAACTTCCGGTCTGATGACGTAATCATTTTTTTTTCGCGCACAGGTCTTGTCTGCATTAAGGTCATTATGTTTATTAATTTTGAAGCGATTACCGCAAATTTCGCCACAGACATCAACTGAAAATGCGTTTTGGACATTTTTTAACCTGCCACTAGAGGGCGCTCGAACACTTGATGGCGTCACCGATCATTTTTTTTGAAAGATCAAC